TGACAACTTTTATTTTTCAAAATTTGTTTTTAACATCAAAGAGGCTCTTAAAATATTATTATATTACAAAAAAAGAAATTCGGTGACGAGTTTAGTTAAAATAAATGATTTAGTACAGGTGTGCTTGAATTTTGATAAATAGAAAAAGCAGGAATGCGGAAAAATAGTGAAAATATAAAATACTTATTATGGGTTTGAAACTTGGTGTGTGGGTATAAAATTACAAAAGAAAATGTTTTTATCCTTTGATATTTTTGCATATTTTGAAGAATAATGTCATTTTTCGATGTTTCTTTTTTTAAATGTCAATTTTGACCTATTTTGTAGACACCATTTGACATCATTTCTTAAGCAAAATCTACTGCCAAAATCAAATTTCACATAAAACGATAAATAAAATAGTTTCCCATTTGATGCGGACTTTATCGGTGACACTGTATATCCTGAAATCCATATTTTGAAATGTGTTTCTCGACTTTATATTATCGTTTTCTTTTTTTTTTCCTAAATGATCTGTTCCGCGAGAACAGCACAGCAATGTCTAGAGAATAATGAATTTACTCACACTTCAAGTGATCAAACGAGGTGCTCCTGGGATATTACACATGACTGAATTTATTATTTCAGAAAAAATTGAATATGTTTCATAGAACAAAGTCCAATGTAGATGTATTCCTCCCCATCCGTATAGCATTCCAAAGAATCCCGGGAGTGAAATATCGGATGGCGCAGACCTAACGATATACGTAACACATATTGTCTGGAATTAATTTGCCTTTCCGAGCTCTATTCATTTGCAATATAGGCTACACGGGTTGTAACAAGTATACAGGAGCTATGCATTCAAAATTTCATTAGAAACACGTGTGTCAGACGTGTTCTGCAATTTCACTCTATTTATAGATTCTTAATTGAAATTTTCAACGAAATGTATGAAGCGATGTACGGACTGCTTTGAACCACGAGTGTTTCGATATTAATCTGTCACAGATTTCAGGTGTAACTTGATTATGATGATGTTTGATAGAGAGAAACAAAAGCACAGTGATCAGTAATTGAAAAAGGGTTGTGAATATGGAATCAATATTTTGTACACAGTGGGAGCAAAAAAATGCGCCCTTCGGAAAAAGGCTCAACTTATGAAGAGGCGTTAATTGTTTTTCAATATATGGAAAAGTCACTCACTTAATATTCACTCATTCATCTCTGTTTTTCCGAACTGATGATTCCTAGGAAGCTGGAATTTGGTATATAGGTTAGTTTTATATTGTAAATGTGCAATAAGAAAGAATTTTCAAATATTCCAACTGGGGCGCAAGCCAAGGGGGCAAAAGAAGCTTCATAAAATGAAGTTACATTTTCGTCACTGTTTCTCCGTAACGGTATATTTTCAGTGGCTGAAATGTTGTATGTGAGTTAGTTTTATATTGTTGATGTGCGATAAGAAAGGATTTTCGAATATTCCAACTGGGGCGATAGCCACAGAGGCAAAAGGCGCGTTCATAAAATGAAGTTACATTTTCATCACTGCTTCACCGTACCGCTATATTTTCAGAAGCTCAAATTTTGTGTGTGTGGGTTCATTATGCACAACTGTAATAGTTATGCAATAAGCCAAAAATTTAAAATATTCCAATTTGGACGCCAGCCCCGTGGGAAAAGGTGCGTCCATAAACGAAATAATTTTTTCATTACTTTTTCTCCATACCCGTGTGTTTGTATTGTCTACCGGCAAAAAAGCTGTGGACGTTG